GGAGCTGAGGGGTGTGATCATGTTTATGCATTTGCATGAGTCACTTTGAAATACTGAGAGAGCAAACAGGAATTTTTCCAGTTACTCAGAACAGCAAGAAATGCAATGGACAATACTGCTTCAGTGATATAAGAAAGCCGTTCAGCTTCAGCTGAATTCCATTAATTTCCGAAGCTATGATTCTTGGGAACCTCTCTTTGTACAACAATCTCATTTACAAGGTTTCCTCAATAATATTATTTTCTGGGTTTGCACAGGCATTCAGGCTCAAAAGCAAACTTATTCTGTTCTTAATGTGACCCTAATTTTTCTCCTCCCTACAAGCTCTTTAGCACATCCCTAAATATCCACATTTACACCCAGTTCCTTGGCTGGTCTTTCACAGCTTTTGCACTTACACCAAGTGAAGGCAACACAGATGGAAAACTTGACTGCTGATTTGAGAACATGTTCACACCAGCACCTTTATGTGACAAGAGGGACAAAAGCCAACATTAAAAAAAATGACTGGTCATTGGAATGCTTCCACAGCCTCTTGACTACCTCCCATACTTCCCTGTAGATGAAATTCATTCCTCTCCCTAACCCTGGCAACTGCCTTGCCTCCTTCATCTTGCATAAGTTCAGATCGCCTTGAGCTGCTTCTGTTTTGCAGCTTTCCTGCAAGAGTACACATAAATCATGGAGACAGCAAGGGTCAGATTTGTACCTTTTTCCCACCCCCAAGAAAGTGGTTTGCTTTTCAGATTTTTACTCACAGCTGCAAGAGGCCAACCTAATCCTGCTTTTCATCTCAGTTCTCTAAATGCATGCAAAAAAAAACAGAAGTCTACGGCTGGCATTTTTGCATAGTCCAGACTTCTGCGTGACATTCACCACTGCACACGTTCTCAGTTTCTTTTCTGTTTTCTTTTTCCCCATGCTGTACACCTGACCCTTGACCAGATCATTTCTCCAACATTATAAAACCTTTATATGTAATGTATCTAGTCCTTTCAAATCAATCTTCAATCATGCCCAAAGGGTCACTAATGCTATATTTTTAAATGTTACTTCTTCTCTGCTATCTATTTTATTATTATCAAGTTTCAGAAGCCAGTCCATGAACTTAGATAACTTTGTTACTCCCCAACATGATTAATGAGGTGATCTTAAATACCGATAGCTCAACACCAACATTTTGAAAAATTGTTTATATTACAGAGCAACAAAGCAATTTGTAATCTCCATAGAAAGAAACTCCAAAATGGGCTTCATCCAGAGATGTTTTCTCCAGTTAGGTCTTTGTTTATCCTGATTATGATGAAAGCAGACCCTTCAACTCAAAGTTGCATGCTGTAGACTTCCAACATGGAGTGCTTTATGTCCACTGGTTTCAGTAAATAAACACAGAATATTTTTCTATTAAGTGAAGATGCTCTTTGGATTTAGCTTCTGTATTTATAAAATAAGCTTCCAAATGAAGCAATTTTCCTGGAAGAGTTCAAGATGCAGGACCATTCCTTTTCTAAACATAGTGAGATACTGTACAAGTCAAAGCTGGTTTATTATTAATAGGTTGTACATGAAGCCAAAGACAAGTTGATTGCATTGAAGTCTGCTTTTAACAGCTACCATCCTAATAGTGTCAGCACACTGTACAACACTGAGTCATATCTCCTCCTCCAGCTATTCATATTTTTACTAAATATATAGGCAAATTTCTTTGTACAAAGAGGGAATTATGCTGGAACTTCACCTGTCCAATGTTTTAAAAGAATAGAGTCAGCAGGTCTAAAAAGCTAGTGTTAAGAGCATTTAATAGCCTCATTTTCTGTTTTGTGTTGCAGTTTCTTTTCTTGCATCTTTCCAGGTCAGGCTATGACCAGAAACAGAAATTCACATACCATAAAAATTGGATATTTACAGCAATTCCAACTATATCAAAAGCAGCCAGCACCAAAACTACAGTGAGAGACTCTTGTGAGCATCTCAGCTCAAAGACCTTAGGCAGTTCACATAAGGTTTACCAAAGCCTCTGGATATAAATTTTAATGCCTCTATGATGGTGCACTGCCAAATATGTGCGTGACCCTAAGTTGTTCAGCAGTCATTTCCCATTCTTTTTGCTGGGAGAAGTTACACAGACAGTCCAGTTTCATGGTGCCAACCCACAGTTCCCCAGGAGCTTCCCAGGAGAAACTCTGCCTCTCCAATCTGGCACCCAGGCCAGACTCACCTTTATCCTTGCCCAAGGATTTGGGGGACAACAGTGCCAGGATGCCTGAACAGTCAAATTGCAGTCAAATTTGCAAAGAACTTGCAAATTGCCAAGTTCTTTGGCACTCAATGCTTCCCTTTTGTGAACAGCTATGGTACCTGTCCCACCTAGCTGCCTCATCTCTTCCCCTCTCCCCCAGCACTGCTACTATCAAACAGTCTTGTGAGATAAGAAAGCTGGGAGACACAGAAGGAATTGGACTTGGATCTACAAAGGGAATTAAGGTATCTAAGTGACACCTGAGCAGCCTCTGAGTTTCTCAAGAGTTTCACATGTTTCCATGAAACTTTAAGCAAATTTCTCAGATACCAACATTTATGCATGCAAACTTTTGTAGAAGGAATTTGCATGCCTCCTTTTACTCCTTCCAGCAGAGATACTGCATGAAAGTCCCAGCAATCAAAGAATGGAAATACAGTATACACATGTTGGTCTTCAGTGTCCAGACTGTGTTTTGGGAAGAAAAAAATCCTTATTAGAATATGCACATCTATTCCCACCAATAGAAATAGCATTTTCTAAATTTGAAGTATCTGTTTATGAAAGATTGTACAAGCTCATCAGAGGAGAAATGGATGAGAGGTGAAGTGAACAGGAGTGTAGTGATGTTCATTGTCCTAATTACAGTGAATAATGTTTTGGCAGAGTGACTAGAGTTCTGATTGTTCCAGGAACTTCTAACAATCAACAGACTATTATCCCCACTTAGTCATACCAAAGACCTGATCTTCCAGTCCAGTGAAGCACGTAGGATGGGCTTAACTTTAAACACTTGAACAGTCTAATTGACTTGTTTGGCATGACTGCGGTGGTGAGGAATGAAGCTGAGACTTGGGTGCAGGTGCTCCTGCATAATGCAAACACTCCAACCTCCATTTCTTTTTCCCCAGGCCTCTGTGGTATACTCCCTGCTGCACATTTACCTGAGTTATCAGCCTGTGGGAACACTCATTGTCAGGGTTAATCTGAAGAAGAGGGAGGCAGCTCCAGTTGGCAGCAGCATGTAAGAAAACAGACACCCAGAGACGGTTATAGAAGACTCCCAGCACTTTGGTTCTAGGGGACTGCCTGTCATTTGTTAATACATTTCAACTTCCAAGATTTCTATCAATAACTTGACTATTTAGCAGTTACCTTTACACGTCTACATTTGGATGGAGGGCTGTGACTGCAGTCACAAGCATCATCTCCAGGTGGCAATAATGCAGCTCACTCAATGCAAGCGCTCAGCTGCAAGTCACCAGTAAACATCAATCACTGCAGACCAGGCTGTCCTTATGTGACTCCCCCTCAAGCGCTGTAGTCAGCCTCATTTCCTTGAACAGAGCTGGTGGGACACCCTGCCACTCATGGGACTAGTATGTCTTCATTGGAAATTTCACAATTTACTTATGGTTACTTGCCCAAGAGCACAGTGGAGCAAGGAACCACAAGAACCCATCACTTAGGAATGGTCAGGGAAAGTTGGGAGAGGTGGAGCACTGGAGTACTCGTAAAGCTGATAGATAGATGAAAGTAGACTCATGAGGTTCACCCCGCGCTTTTGCTTGCACTGAGAACCTGTAGTCAAATGCAAGCTTCACGGAAGGGTAGAAAAACTTATAAAAAAAAAATCCAAGTCTTCACAAAAAAAAGTTCCCTTCCCCCTCTCACAACTTCCTTCAATTGATGGGTCTTCTAGGGCAGAGAAAGCTAACAAGGAATAAACCTAGAATTGGAAATCAAATAATCCTATTTAATTTTATAGTTGTTGACACAACTTGTTACATGTGTTTCGTACCAGAATAAATGAAATCACAGTCATCTGATTTCCAAATTACCATATCTATTGTTTCAGAAATACAGGGTGTAAATAATTGCAGTGCAATCGCCTATGTCTGGACCTCTCTCATCCGGAACCGTTATCAGGATTAGCATAAATTACAGTGCCATCTAATAATGAAATCACTGAACACTGATTGTGCCAACTATTTAAACCTGTAATTATTGCTCATTAGAAACGTGTTTCATGTTATTTGCCCCTTACAGGCCCAAAGTTGTTGTCAAAAGGCTCCTGCAAAGGATTCTACAGAGAAAAGCATAGAAAATTTGTAGATGATAGGCATGAATTTCATCTGCAAAGTCCGTCTGCATGTAAGAAACATGCTCTGGACACCATTCATTCACCCCTGAAATATATTTGTATCTGCTACCAGAAAGAAGATGCCATAGGTGAGAACAGGAAACCTCCAATATAATTCAGATGTGTACTAACAGTATGTGGTTTTCTACATAAGTGGACAGTGATTAGCTCACAGCATTCATTATTGTAGTACAATTAGTCATCATGCAGCTGACAAACTCCAAAGGAAATAAGCTCCTGACCTAGCCAGAAGGAAGGCTCTCAGCAGATCTTATCATAGCTGGATAAGGCTCAGGTGGGGTAAGCAGCTACCCACATCAAAGGCAATAAAGGACAGATGCCAGAAGCAAAATAAAAATAACTATCACCTTTGCATGCTCCTCTGTTAAGGATTTGCCAAAGACAGTTGTTTAGGATTCATCTGCGCCTCTGTAGATCAAGCTCTTTAAAAGATGAGCTGGCTAAAACAGCACTCAAATAAGTGCTCTTTAGGTCTAATAGATATTTTAATCATTTTTCCTTAACAGAGGGAAAGTGATTCATCTTTTGTCATCTTCTTCCTACCACATACACAAAAACTTTTGCTATAGAGTGGGGGGAAAAAAAAATAATAATTTCTACCACTTCAAGAAAGATAGAAAAATAAAAGAGAGAAGTCTAATACCTTTGGAAAAACTCACCTTGATGTAGAGATAGCAGCTGATATCCATCAGCCTATCCATTTCCCTGATAAGTTCTTCCAATAGTTGATTCAAATCAGAGTTTAAATTTTCATTCCTGTGATGAGGTGGTTCAGCAGACAGACACACAAGAAACCCAACTACTAAAGTGTACATCCCTCCAAAGAGACATGGGTTCTAGATACAGCTGCAGATACTGTTAAAGCTAGCATACTCCCAGAAGTTTAGCTTATATTAACTCTTCACAAACTTGTAGAAGTCAATCCCCACCCCAGGATCCCAAAGACTCAAAGTCTATCCTTTCTCAAACCAAGAGGTCCTTATATTACTTACTATGGCTCCTGGGGCAGGGAGATTCTCTGGCCTCCTGATAATGGAGTGATCCTGCCCAGCTGTCAGCCATTTGTACCACTACGTATCTGTGTGATAATGTTCTGACACAAGGTCAGCAAACATAATCACTGTATGGAGTGTTTAACTAATTGGTTCTTTATCCTTTAATTTCTATCGGCTCTAAGGTATTACAAAACCTTACCAGAGATTGCAATTTGACAGGAGTTAACTATAAAACAATTGTTGACACTAGGTTCAGGTGAAAAATAAAGAATGAAACTTTATCCTCAAGTGATAAGAAAGCAGTTCTTCTTTCTGCATCCCAAAACCAAGCAGGTTCTAAAATAAAAATAAATAAATAAAATAAATAAAAATAATTTTTAAAAATCTCTTAAATGGGTGCATCCAGTAAACCAGCATCCAGTAAACCAGCCACAACTCTTCTGTTAGAAGTTTACAAATAAAGTTAAATAAACTAGGCAAAGCTAATATACGCCTCTCTGTCCCGTTATGCTACCTGCAGGCATTTACCCTCTGACAGAGCTTTGCATGCCTGAATATTGCCTTGCTTATGACTGTAGTCTATGGTATTACTACTACAAGTACTATGATATTTTCACATATTTGGAAGTCAGTGTCTGATGGAAGTAACATGTTGACTTGAAGTAAAAAAAAAATATATATTAGAAAGTTCTAATGTATGACTCAGCTCGAGATGTCTGCATCAGTAAGCTATGGTGAATATTTTTACAGAACTGTTAGTTAACAGAACAACTCCCCAAAAAGAGCCGTGCTTGGACGATCTTGTCTGTATCTTTGAATGATGTAGAGATCAAGCATATGTCCATTTTTATTACTAAATAATCTTCAGTAGTTTGCTGGGCCCTAAGATGATGTAATTTAGCCTTTCCTGCCAACTGTTAGGCTTTGCCAGATCTTGCAGGTTTATTACTTAAGTGTTTCTGGAGTAGAAAACAAACAAACAAATAAAAAACACACAGGAGGTTGTATATTAAAAAGAAAATTAGCACCTTGGTCATTTATCGGTATCTGTTACTTTCATCCTAGGCTACTCTGGCCTAGGAGTACTCTTTCATCCTATACTACCCTGGTTTCTGTTGCTTATTATAATGGATATGCCAAATGAAGAAAACAATATCCATTTTACAAAAAATTGTTAAACTGTTAAAACTGTTGAAGCCTTCAAATGACTCGCAGTTTATGAAATAAATTGGTTTTCTTTAACACCTAACAAGGTAAACAGCAATTCTATTGAAGTCATTGTTCTGCCTTTCCTCTCTGACAGTAGAAACCACGAATTTTCTTTGCATTTTACTGCAATATTATATTTGGTGTTTTTATTCTATTTTGTACAAATAGAAGTGGTGACGTGTTGTGACAAGAAGACAGACCTCATATCACCATATATTTATACTTTGCAGAAGAAAGGATGGTACATGAATAGGTATATTAAAGAAAGTGGTTGTCCTTTATGCACATGAGAGGATAAGGCATCAACCAGCTTCACAATTATCTACCCACTACCTATTTGTTTACCCAATTTAACATACAGAGAACTAATCAGAAAGGAGAGACTAGGAAAAGAAGAGAGTCTAAAATAGAAGCAGCTTGCAAGTATGTCACTGGAGAACTAAGAGTTTTGCACATATTGGAGAAGACACAATGTCTCTGAAGTGATTTCACCATTTTAATGTGGATTAATTGCCTTGCTCATATTTCATTGCAAGGGTTGTTTTTTAAACCTTTGATTAAGAGTTATCTAAGTACACCTCTAACTAAGGTAGAAAAGAGCACTGCTATTCCTGTTGGTACAAGAGCAAACCAACAGTAAGTCAAAGGAACTGTGTTAATGATACAAAGCACAGGACTTGTACTATTTTGGGGTGTGTTTTATATCTCGTTTAATCTCATTGGTATCTCATACAGGCTAATAGCCACAGAAAATTATAAAGAAAAATTAGGTAAAAATTCCCCTGTTCCCTACTCATTCAGATACAGATGGAAGAAAGGCTACTAGTATCTCCTAGGGCTAGAAGCAAATACTACTTTATTATAAACGTGGCTGGAAAGCCAGTAAGTCTTGAAATAGTCAGAGATACCAGACCTTAAATACATCACTTTTCAGTAGTCTGAACTAGTGGAAAAAAAACTCAATAGAGGTAAAACAGAGAGCTGAGTGCAGCTGTGTAGTTACTAGTACACATTGAAAACTGTGTAACACAGGTAAGATAAAAATGCTATCATCATAGTTAATATGTGTGAGTACATTTTGAGTTTATTGAGAGATGTATAAATATATGTCTGTTACAGTGCATACATTCACACTCAGGTGTATTTAAATACGATATAATGTACTCGTATAAAAAAATAGGGAGTTGAAATCTTAGTGTAGTTAAGTCTCCATAAAGGCCTGACTACAAGCTCCATGCCAGCAACAGATGGCCTACTTCCAAACAGGTAGGAAAGCAATGTGATTCTAGCCTTAAAGAGAAAAAGAGGGGGAAAAAAAAAAAAAAAAAAGGAAAAAGGAAAAAATTACAGCATGAAAATTGGCTTTATAAATAAAGGAGATCACACTCTGGATGATTAGAAGTAATTTCCACAAAAGAGGGTAAGATCTTCTTGGTATTTCCACAAGTAAATTCTGAGTCTTAACCTCTCTGGGAGAGATAAATGTGATATCAGACTCTAAAGCATTACATATTCTCTCTGTCTCTGTCCCCTTCTCTCTGTATGTATTAATTTTATAGATCTTTTTATTGTCTCAACTATACTGGTTGCGTGAGGAGCAGAACAATAGGCCAAGTACTTCCATTTCACACATGCCACCTCTATAATTCAACAAAGAATAGTAAAAAAGATCTATAAACTTGTTATAAATCAGTGCCCTAAACTAAATTAACCATTGAAATGGATTACCATAAAAATAATGTCATAAAAATATTCTTCACCTCTGTACTCCAGGTGTGTGTCTGTGTGTGTATGTGCTTGTGAAAGCCCACGCATGCAATGCTTTGTGTGTGCCAAGGCCAGTGGCAGTGCTAATGCTGTGGCTGGCTCAGCTTCTGCAGCCTTGGAGGAGATGGCACCCAGGGCTGTGAGGATGAGCTTTAATATCTCTGTGTCTGGGAAAGTAACTCATAAACAGATCCACTAAAATATAATTACTCTACATAACTCACCTTTAGTAGTAGTGAGTCATCTCTGCTTTCTTATTAGCAGTAAAGCACTAGTCATTTTGGTTATGTTTCTGAGGTGCTGCTGGAAAAAAAAAAAAAAAAAAAAAAAAAGATTTAAAAAAAGAAGACCCAAAAAAAAAAAAGATAAAAACCAATCCAGATGCAGGCTAAAGAAGATGGCAACTTAAGCAATACACAGCTTGGCCAAAGTTGAGTTCTGTTCTGCACTCCCTAAACACCAGCTCCCCCAGCATTTGATCAATATATATACTAAGCTCCATGAGAAAGGCACATAGGAGTATCAGGAGAGAAGACTGTGAAATTCAGTATTGGACTGATAGGATGGTGGTTCAAGAGCTGGTAGATTCTTTCACTCTGGAGGAAGACATCAGAACAGCAGAGCTGGAGGTGGCTCTCCTGGAGATGACACTTTCCTTGCCCACCTCCCTGAGCTCACATTACCATCGTTTACTTCACAGCCATCACCCAAGAACTCACAAGTACTACTCAAAGATTTTCTAACTCCAAGTGAGACTTATCTCAGTTTGGAAGTGCCACACTTCCAGATATAGCAAAAGCCACTTTTGAGAACCAGCAGCACCAAGGTAAGAGTAACCAGGGTGCAACACTGGCCTCCTCCTGCAGTCTACCAGTTTCGTTAGACTTTAGATCTCAGTTTCTCAATCTGTATTTTTACAAGGGAATTCTTTCAACAAAAGTGAACTGTGAAATCTTCCAGAAAGGGAATTCAGCTGCTGAATTGGTAGAGTTGGGCCACAGCCATCTTGTATCAACAGGATCTCAGTGTTGAGAAGAATCATCTTTGGTTAAATATATATGTGTGTGTGTATATATACAGACACACATGCAAAGGGAGCCACTATGCCCAGGCAATAAGATGGGTTAAAAAACTAGAAAGCTGCTTTTCATTCCACCTGGTGGGATAGAGAGGGTAATGTGAAGAGCAACAACTACCACCTCCTGAATTAGAAAGAGAAAGCCTAGGAAAAAACATGTAGGGCTGAACTGGAGAAGAGGGAGTTTTCACGCATGTGATAAATGAAAAATAGCCATTTTGTATGCATAGGTGGTTGTCTTTCCCTGATTTAAAGGCCTGGTCACCACAAGCCATTCTAGGCTATCTCTAGCCTGTGAGATAATTCCTAACTGAGTATTTTAGTGCTGGTCAGGAAACAGGTATCTCACTGAGAAAACCAAATTATTTACTTCTGCTCACTGGATTCACATGTATAGGAGCAGCTTGTTTTTTCCACAAACCAAATGTTGGTGTGCTCTGTGTACGAGTCTTTATTTTGTTCTGATGCATGACATAGTGGTACTATAAAAGGCAGACAGTTCACTGTCAAATAACATTTGCTTTGCTTAAAACTAGCTATATATTTATCTCAAAATAGGAAAGCACAGACGACTGTTATTGAGGCTAGAAGTGAGAGAGTAGGTGCCACACTATGATGGAGGTAAATTAAAGCAGCTCTACAGAGTTGTAACATGAATCTGCTAATACAATTGGCACTGAAGTTAATCCAACCTGTGCAGCAGCTCCCTTTTTCATACACTGCAGGAAACAATGGGATTCAAAGCATCATTGCCCCCGAAGAGGAAGGACTGTGTATTTTGCTTTTAAATGTCTCAGTCCAGTATAAAAGATAAACTCACCCTTCAAAATAGAACAGTCATCACGTCATTGCAAATAATCATTGTTAGAAATGCGCCGAACTGCTAGGCCAGTTAATAACGACACCACATTTTATTTATATGGCTCCCATCTGCTGAAGCCTTCTAGGCAGCTCACAATGGGTTTGATTTTCAGCCAGACCTTAGCATAGCTTCTGTTTATATGGATGCAAATAACAGTGGTTGGATGGCTGTGTGCATAAACAGGTCTAACAACTAATCTTTGTGACTATAATGCATGGTTTTATTCCTTCATGCAACAAAATCTCCATCTGAAAAATCCCTCTGACAAAGTACACAAAGCGTGACAAAGAACTAAGTTTCTCTGTGAGTTTTTAATGTTTTCAAGTGATTCAGCATTTGACTTGCCAGAGGGGACCATGAAACGTGCATCACCACTGTGCCCATCACTTAGTGAGGTCCCCCTGACTCCACGCTCCCCAGTACAAGGCACAGCCCTGAAAAGGTAAAAGAACTGGATATATGAACAAAAGCTGCTCCTTTTCTCATCATCTCCTCTCTTGCACCCCACAACCTCCTTCTCCTTTGGCTAGGCCTAATATTCTTTCCTACCCAATGCTCCTCACCAATCTCTTTTCTCTCTTCTTTGCCTCCTTTCTGAGCTCTGTTTCAGCTGATAGCATTTTCCTCACAATGCTCCACACAACCTGTTTTCTGATGCAGGGCACTGACTTCTCCCATGGCCTCTGCATGCTGCAGCCACAACTCCAGCCACTGCGCTTTACCAGCGTACATGCTTGAGCTGTGCCTCCACACACTCACCTGCTGCTGCTTCCTTCCCATTCGCCCTTCACCAGCATGTTTCAGCAACAGGTGACTGGCCTCTCTCTTGGGTGTCTGTTAGGATAGGTTTCATCTTTTTCTTTTTTGCGATGAAAAAAAAAAAAAAAAAGACAAAAATCTGAATACCTTGTCAAGAACAGTGCTTATTGTTTGGAGCACTTCTATCAACTTCATGGCAGTAAGTGCTGTGCTTGGCAGTGCTTGCAGATCTGGGCCTTCGGATAATGGGTATATTTATAGTATGTGCATTGCTTATGTACCGATAGCTGCCAAAGCAGTAAACAAACAAATGCTCTCCATAAAACAATGAGAAAGTAGGATCATAATCTTTGATCGATGAACAGGGATGACAGGTTTAAAAAGGTTTCCTCGCTCTTTTATGCAGATTGCTTTTCCAACTGCCTGAATCTCAGCCAGCGTGAGGAGGCTGGAAGCCTGGAAGGGAGGCTTTCCATGGCTCTTCAGCACTGACAGCACCTCCGCAAGGAGTAGACCCTGAGAAGAGAGTGATGCTGGTGTGAGAAGGCCCCACATCACTCAGCAGGAGCAGGCAGTGAACAATAGTCCTCTCCCTCACGCTGACCCCACAGGCAGGAGATGCAAGAGAAGGGTGGGCCTGGGCACGCAGAGGGATAGCTCAGAGCCGTGCACCAGCCAAGCTGCACCTGCAGGAGCAAGGTCACTGCCCAGGACATGGCATGAAGTCTGCCAGGCCCTTTGAGATAGGTCTGATGCCCAGCAGGGACTTGTAGACTAGTGGAGACATCAGTGGATGTGAGAATGGTCTTCCAGCTCTTCGTCAGAACAGCTGCTTTGAGGTTCCCAGCCTGAACCTACTTCCTGAGGAAGAGTTCGTGCTTGGTGCATCCAACAAGTTCCTCGGGGGGATGCTTTGGAGAGACACACTAAAACTAAGGTCCATATATTGATCTGCAATGCGAGGTTGTCTGGATCTAAGTTTTAAACCAGTATCAAATCTACCTGCAAACTCTAAGCCTACATTTGTGCTTCCCTCCATACACCCATATCAAAATTAAGATGAACACAGTGCAACATTTTTTTTTTATTTTTTTTTTTATTAGATACAACCTAACAAATCTATTAGTCTGATCTTGGCTCCATATATGTTCCTGGGAGTCTAGAGAGCTCTAAAAGCAATGACCTTGACCAAGACATTAAAAAACTGATTAAGTTCTATTTACATCTTTGTTTATTTAAGTACTACTTTCTTAGCAAATTGAAATATATGTAATTTAAGCAGCAGGTTAACTTAATTTGAAAATGAAAACAAAGGAACATTTTTAACACGGTAATACAGGTCAGTTCATGATGTTTCTGAACTACTCAATGTGAATGGCCTGATTTTTAGATTGTTGTGTATTAACAGCTGCACGTTAAGTCAGTGTGTGTTCGCATCTTTGAAACTCAGACCATAGGAAACACTCTCATTGAAATGCACAAACTGCATTATTAGCATGGATCCACTAAAATAATATTATTATGAAGGGTCTGTACTACCTGAATAAGAACCATTATTTGTTGATTGAAATACAGAATAAAATTAATGTTGATGACTCAACTAATAACTTAATATTTAAACAGCAAGTTTCAAGCAAAGAATCCTCAGGCATTTCAGAGCTGGGAAGCATAAACACACCATTACAATTTTAGGTAGGCAGAATGCAATTATCCAAGTTGGATTCTGGCCAGAACAATGGGCACTACCCCCTCCTATTCTTATTTTTAAAGAAGTTCCACTACAAAAGTGATGGCAGCTGTTGCAAGCGATGAATCCATCAGTTACTCACACAACCCATCTAGTTGATTCCAAGCAGCCCTGATTCCTACCAAAACAGCCTTCATTCCTACCACAGTGAAACAAAGACACTGGCCAGCCACCTACATGTGGAAAGCTACGTGCTAATTTTCTCCTTCCTCTTGGATTTTTTGCTGGGGAAAGAAAAAAATAAAAAATCCTACTTCAAGAAATGCTTTATTTTTTACTGGAAGAAGTGACTTCAGAGCTGCTTCAAGTGGGTTGGACCTGCTGGGAGAATCCACCCTGTCAGCCAAGACATACAAGGGAAAAAATGGGTGTCTCCTCAGACATCCTTTAACCCTCCCACCCTCCTGCATACATAGCATTTTTAAGAAATGTGCTGCTATATCTCTGCCATTTCCCTTTGCACCTTTCTTCTCAAAGTCACCAGGACCTTTTGCAAAGGGGGGCTTTGGAGGTACAGATGGTAACTAACTCTGGGCTCACTGAGATTAGCATCAGGACCGGAGGGCACAGGAACGCTCTCTATGCTTAGATGAGGCTGAAGAGGAGAGTTCACCCCCTGCATCTCCATCTTTCACCACTTCAGTATCCCAAAATAAATGTCCTCAAAAGACAAGTGTTCTCCCTACAGTTTCTCCTTAAATTTCTGGGCATTACATAGTCTCTCCAGGATTCAAGTATCATCTCAATCTCAGAACAACCTCCAATGGCCATTTAGGATTCACATAAGCCCTGTTTCAGCAGAGCACTTGAGCTTGGCTCCAGAATGCCAAAAATTGCAGGTCAGGAGAACACTTATATCCTGGAAAAACGGGTCAAACTTAGGCACATGCCTAAATGCTTGCTGAACACAGAGATTATTCACACACAAAATACATATTTACATGTTTTACCGGTTTCGGACTCAAGACCCACAGAAAAATTGCATTGAACCAGTAATGAACCCTGCCAGAAAACAATTATCTCTGTCCCTTTCCCCCTTAAATGTGTCCAGAGCTGTTACCAGATCAAGGCTATTCTAGAACTAAAAAGGGAAATTTATTCAACAAGCACTATAGCAGGTGGCAGCTGCTAAACAATCTGCCACCAATCAGCAGTTTATGAAAGAGAGTAAAGAATCCAATAATAACTCACAGTCAGGGAGGGAGACACCGAGCCTGCAGTTACTGAGGGAGGCTCATAATTAGACAGAGCCAACTCTTTGGCAAAATTATTTCTCCTAAAATCTGCTTAACTGGTAAACTTGGCACTCCACAAATCCTGCAGGCAGTATACCCACAGCTGAGCCCGGGTGCAATGTAACCTGCAGGGTAAAGCTGAGCGGCTTCTTGGGAGGGCTGGGTGGGTGAAAATGAGGCTGGTGGAAAACCCAAATCATTTTGTCTGCCTTCGTCTACTCATTTGCTTCTCCTGGAGAAAGTCTATCGTTATGCAAGAGCCCTGAATTTTTATGACATTCAGCCTGTTCCCAGATTAGAGTGCGTAGATGAGTCAATGGCACAATTCTCAGAAATCTTCCATGGTGCCATTCTGGTGAGGTTGGGCTCAGAGCTGGAAGGCCCCTAAGTCTATCTGCAGGTTCTATATCTGTTCATCTTAAATGATCCGAGTTTGCTATGATTTCTTAAAGCTCCACATATGAAATTAGACAAAATAGAGTTTAATTTCCAAGAAGAACTAAGAAAACTCCAGCCAGCCTCATGGTAGGCCTATTTTTTCAGCTAGATTACAGCACCATCTACAGGCCTTTCCTGATTTAAGACTAGCGTCAGGCAGGTTGTTCCACTATCTGTATATAAATATCTTTTGGCTTCAGTGGCATGTCTAGTGCCGTGACAGACTGTATAGTCCAACTTAGTGTGAACAGGGCAAAATCCCTTTAGACCAGGCTGAGAAAAGTTTGGTAACAGATGACGGACATGTTTTCTTCTTCATAAGAAGCAGCAAATCTGTGAAGTGCCCTTGGATTTTATTAGCTTGATTCTAAACCACAGAGGGTCTATCATTTCAGTTTGATTTTAAATATTCAATCAAAAGTTCATTTTTGTTATGCAGTTCTGCTTAGCACAGTTAAATCAGAGCTGCAGGAGAGAAAAGTAAAATGCAGAAAATAGATGTCAGCTAAAACTGAACAACAGATTTCTACCACAGTAGCACAAGCTTAAAATACTTCTGCTCATTTTGGACCACATATGTAGAAGCAGTAAGCACAGTTGATCCACCAGAATTCGTTATACTTAACCTCAGCTGGTTGACACAGATATGAGAACTCTCTACAACACAAGACCAAGGTCATCTCTGTCTGGAGACTGTTATTTGCTAAATTACTTGCCAAACCAAAAGAAATTTAATTGCTCCTATGCATGTAGGAGATCCTGGGATAAACACTGGTTTGGTGTGAAGAGGGCTGTGGTGAAACAACCTACAGTATAGCAATCAAATGTAGTAAAATATCAACCCTCCTCTAGTAAATAAAGTCATTCATCTGAACATCAGGCTGAAGTATCAAACCACAAACAAAAATGTAAGCTGGCCATACCTTCCTTACACCAAACCCAGTTACTTGAAATCCAGAATCAGGCTCCAAATAATAAGCTTGATGGGCTTCAAAAAACCCAGAGGCTGGGAAAAAAAAAAAAAAAAAAAAAAAAAAAAAAAGTGTTTAGGAAAACTTTACCTGCTTCCTGATGTTGTGGCTCTTAGGAGGTGAAATGTTATTTTAAGCATTTCTCTGAGGCTAGGAGAGAGCCTCCCCCCCCCCCCCCCCCCCGGCCCTTCTTTTTTTTTTTAATGAAGGTTGAGTTTCAAACAATCCCATGAGGAGAGGGCCTGAAGTTTTATAACAATACCAAATATCACAAAACTTATGATAATATCACAAGAGCTGACAGCACTGTGAATCAGCACACTAAGTCTACTGGAAATTTTCTTTTCTTGAATCTCTGCCATGAAAATAATTTAGCTCTATACTATACCTATGTAATGCAGGGAGAGCCACAGTAACCACAGATGGTGTCAGTGTTAAATGCCTTTAAAATAAGAAATTCTCCCCCCTCATTCCAAAACTAAAGAGTAAATGGACAGGGGGATATGCACATGCCACAGTTACCACCTATGTGAGGATTTCGTTATCTTAAAAGCTGTTGTCTAAAACGCTACCCACCCTATGGAATTAAAAGCCATAAAGCTGCTGTCTTACTGATGTGTAACAGTACATACTGCACACCGACTGCTTGGGATTAATTGCACATATAAAAACAGATTTCTTTTTAAAAAGTCTGCGTGCAGAG